ATAGCATTCAAGCACTATTTCATTGATTCTATATGTATAAGCCAAATCTACCAAGAAGAGCTCAATTGCTTGCAAGCTGTGGACATTCACTATGCCTAGAATTTGTGTACGAATATTGGATAGGTATAATTTTCACTATACTCATAATTTTGAGCTGATTCTTAGTTTATTGTGTTATTAAGCATCTTAGGATTAACTTTTTTGTTGAACACATTTGCTAATTATGAGGTTGAATTCTTACTTTAGTGAAATTGGTTGAATTCTTGCTTTAGTGAAATAGGTTGAATTCTTAATATGAGGTTGAACTCAACCAACTTAATGGCCATTAAGTTGGTTGGATTCTTGCTTTAGTGAAATTGGTTCACTGGAATTTCCAATATTATAGACCCAAATTTGAAAAAAAAAAATACTAGGAAGGATTGGCTAGGAATTTTAGCTTGGAATTTTAATATATAATCTTTGGTGTGTCAGTGATTTTAGGTAAACATTTCAGAGTAATCTGAGTTTGGACCAGAGAGTTGTGCATCTGAGAAGCACATAAAGTCCTTTGCTAACTCCTAGTGTACACTTTAGGAAGACAGGGCCAAATTTGGATGAGTATATCTCTTTCCCTTCTTAGTAATTTTGTTTGAAACAATTCCTGTATTAATTTTAGTGTCTTAGCTTCATTGTTTTAGTTTTGAGGTTTTGCTAATTTTGTCATTTTCACTTTCAAAAAAATTCCACAAAAATATTGCTCTAATGTGTTTGCTTTCTACCATTTTTTTTCAAGATTTTGATCAATTTTGTATTTTTATTTTCTTGTAGAACCTGTAAAAAACTTGGAGAAAAGTATATTCAATTTAGAGATCAATACCTTAAGTTCTTAGTAGCTTTTTCCCTTTTAAACACCATTATTGATAATTCTGTTGTTTTGGATAGTATGGTTGAACACTTACATGCTAATAACCATGAGATACCTGTTAGGAAAAGTATTAGAGAAATGGTGGCACCCATTGACACTTTTAGAGCTAGTGGCTTGTATCTAAATTTGCAAGAACAAAATGAATATGAGATCAAGCCTTCTTTGATTAATGCTTTGCCTAAATTCCATAGTCTTATAGGTGAAGATTCTAATAGGCATCTATAAATACTTGAGAGGGTTTGCTCTACAATGAAGCCACCTACAGCAAATTTAGAGAATCTTATGCTAAAAGTCTTCTATTTCACACTTGAGGATAAAGCTATTACATAGTTCAATACTTTTGCAACTAGAACCATCAACTCTTAGGTTGAAATAAGAAATTGTTTCCTTGAGAAGTATTTTCTAGCCACTAAGTATTCACAATTGAGGAAGCAAATCATAGGAATTCAATAAATGCATCAAGAGTCTCTTTATGAATATTAGATGAGATTCTTAGAGTTGCTTGCTAGGTGTCCATATCTTAATGTGGGCAAGAAGTTTCTTGTTAATTACTTCCATATGGGACTGCAAATACATGATAGAGAGACCATAGATGTTGCTGCAAATGGCTCTTTGCTTGACCTCCTACCGGATGATGCTTGGGCTTTGTTAGAGAAATTAGTAAACAACAATCAACAATATAGCTCAAGAGACAATATGTAAAGTCCTTACTTAATCCGGACTTTACCATTTCAATCACACATATCACAATATAATCACAATAACATATTAGAGTAATAACCCTCAATTTTTTTCAAAATGTGGGATCCTGGCTTCATCAAAAGCATGTTTAAATAAGAGGGCTAACAGAAGCATAAATACAATTCTATGACTCAAAGAGGCACACCATCTTTCCCCTAAAAAAGTGCTATGCCATAACTCACACCACCATACACCGCAGCATGTGGTACAGAGCCACAACTCTATTCTTTTCTGTATCATGTGCCATAACATGGCATGCAATGCGTTGTGACACATATGACAACAAATTTCCGCATGGTAAATAGTAAACTTTCAACACATGCCATTTTCACATCCGACGTTCGATTAGAGTGATTGAAGTGCCCACACAAAGATTACAACGTAATCTATCTAGTGAGATAAATTTGGACTCAATCTAACAATCCAATCTAAAATTGGGCACCCGAATGCAAAAAGATACTTTTTCTTTCAAAACTTGCACCCTAAGTGCTTAATTCTCATTCCTTGTCATATTAGACCACTTTAAGCCTTAAACTAAGTCCAAAAGGACCATATACACTTGATTGACGCTTCTAATCACATATAGCACATCAATTATTCATATTGACCTCTCAATGCCACTTTACATAATTGTGGGCTTATATGAGGAATACGCAAACATTCACATATACACATAAACTTGTTTCACTTTTAACCATGTGACTCTTACATATAGGGCTCTGCCTCACCATACGGTTGAGAATCAGTCTCACCATTTATGTCAAGTTCTCATATACACATACACAAATCATCACATCAATTCATATGTATGCAAATGGAACAAGTTACATAATATCATATACTTGCTTAGATCGTATCTAAGCCCACCCACATACCCATCACTGGGGCACCCTCGGCAAGATAAAACATCACATATATACAAGAAAGTTTTAAACCACATTTCATATACACATTCATATTTTCATATTCACTTACACTTATGCATTCTAGTTGGCAACTCAAATTCTAATTACAACTTTATACATTCATTTATACAAATGGTAGTCATACAACTACCAATCAAGGCTACTCTTTCCTCATCTCTTTTCTTGGCCTTCTCGTGCTCTCTTCACCTATGTATAAAAGTAATGGAGTGAGACATACATTATAGTGACTTAGATATAACCTAAATACTGGTTAGTAAAAAAATCATAAACAAGAGATAAAGCAGCATGTATTTCAATAAAACTAGTATAGTATGCATATACACAAATTCATCCATATCATCCATCATGCTTATGCATTCTTGGTTCTACCTAGCAGAGCAATCTCTATGATTAGACTAGGACTTTTAGTCTTTCATAAAAGAGGGCCCACCATACTACTGTTTAGACCAGGTATCCTCTTCACATATGGGTGGTCTCCTAAGTCTATCATGGCGGAGTCAAGCTCTACACTTGAGACCTTCAGGACTTCCTAGCCTTACATAGAGTAGGATTATGACCCCCTACCCTAGTCTAGGATACACTCGTGGATTATTATCTTAGGTCCCTCGTGGTGGAGTTAATGTAATGCCTTTAAAAACATTACCACACAACTCTCCTTGTAAACTACTAATCAAAATAAATAACTTGAAAACTTTGAGATCCTCATATCTAAAAGTTTCAAAAACCATTTCATAAATTATCCGAGTTATAAAAATACTACACAGAAGAAGCAATATGCAAAAAATGCATCAAAGACTAAGAAAACATGTCAATTTCAACCCAATTGAGTCAAAATAGGGGCCACGTGTCGCGGCTCGTGCCACATGCACCACAGCATGTGGTATAGAGACCTCAACATCACTCTGTGTGCCATGCACCATAGTATGTTACCCTTTGTCGTCACATGCACCGCAGTGCACATACCAAAATCTGATGTCAACTTTTATATTCTGATATAAACTTCAAAAGTATGCCATTTTCACATCTGATGTCCAATTGGGGTGGTTCAAGCACCCACACAAAGCTTATTTCAAAATTTAACCAATGACACTAGTTTCATTTCAATTCAATATTCCATTCAAAAATTAGACACTTAAGTGAATTTTGATAGTTTTAAGTCAAAATTTATCACTTGAGTATCACCAATCAAAACCATAAGTTATTGGCCACTTTTAGGGCCTTGATCATGTCTAATTAGACAAATAACAACTAATTGACCAATTATTTATACAATAGAACACACGTATACACAATTAGCCTATAAACTGCCTATTACATGTCTCTGGGCAAAATTCTCATTTCTTCATACTCATTCTCATACAAGGCCAAAAATTTCTCCTACTAATCATAGTTCTTCTCTACATATACATATACTCATTCACTAGTCCATACTATCATTTTCACTATATAAACACATATACAAACTATGGGCTAGATTATCAAAACCATGACCACATATATAACCAAGACACTTATGCGCAACCATACACTCGAGATGATTCTTATAGAAACTTATATATACATTTAATACTACTTATGTACAAATTCATTACACCATTCCTTACAAGATTGTATCAAGAAATCTCTATTCTCAACCTAGTTCCTTCCCTTTCACACCATTACCACCAGAACCTAAAAAAGATAAATAACCACAAGTGAGATAAAAATCTTTGTAACCAATATAGTTTTTTTAATATCTATTACAACAAATAACCATGCCCAAGTAACAAAACTAGAGCAATAGCAATTATATATCAAAGTATGTAAATACCATACTAGCATGATCATCTAGCCACCAAACCTCCAATGTTCCCTAACACAAAACCATAGGCTCTACTAGATCAATCACTCATTGATTTGAGCACACTTTTCACTAGTACAAAAATAACTTTTTACAGCGGTTAAAAAACGACTTTTTACAGCGGTTAAAGAGACGATGTTGTTCCAGGGGATGTAGAAAGTCCCTCTTTTTACATCGGTTATAAACCCGATGTAAAAATTAAATTTTTTACATCGGTTATAGAGCCGATGTTGAAAATTATATACAAGAAAATTAAAAAAAATTTACTTAACTTTTTACACCGGTTATTATACAACCGTTGTCGAATATAATATTTTTTACACTAGTTATTACCTATCCAAACCGGTGTAAAAAATATTATATTCTACAACGGTTGTGGTAATAACCGATGTAAAAAGTATTTTATTTTTTTATACTATATTTATTTTATCGATTTTACCCATTCCTGTGCATAGAAATTGCCAAATCAGACAGCCCAATTAATTTACAATTGTTTATCAAGTATTTATCAACTATACAAAGCTATTTAACTATTAAAAAAACTAATAATTGTCTAAATTGTCAAAATTGCCATTCCTGTGCATAAAAATTGCCAAATCAGACAGCTCAATTCATTTACAATTGTTTATCAAGTATTTATCAACTATACAAAACTATTTAACTATTAGGAAAACTAATAATTATCTAAATTGTGTCAACTATCAAAATTAAAACATGTCTAAAAGTAACAAAAAACCTCACAAGTTCTCCACAAAATAGGTTGCCCAACGTATGCGGATGTCTTCAATTTCAGCTTCAGAAAATGCATCCGAATTGTCGAACATCTAAAATTTGATTCATAAAGTAGGCATATTAATCAATCTCAAATAACATAATAAAATAAAATTTTTAAAAATATATATATTTACCTCTTTTGTAAATTCGGTCATGCCTAATGTGATAATATTGAGCATGTGCCTCATGACATATAGACCGCACAAGTTCGTCCTCACCGGTTGTCTATGACTCTATATAAGAACAAATCATAAAAAATTAGTAAGAAATCTTAATAATTGAACATATTAATAAAGTATAGCATCACCTTTGGCTCAATCCATGTGGGATCCTTGAGCTCATGTCCATGCTTTTGTAAGACTACATTTTGATATGTTCTCATTGCCCTATGATCAAGATTACCAAGTTAGTAAAAATATTCAAAAAAAATTAAATTAAATAGTTTAGTAAAAGTATTCTTACAAGTCTATCGTCTTCTTCATTTCTTTCCCAAGTTTGTAATGGAGGGAGCATAAAAAGACGACAGTGTTGCTCTTCATTGAAAGAACAAATAACTGCCAATGGTCCCTGCTAAATATGATACAAGTTAAAGTAAATCCATATTAAAAAACTATTAATTATAAATTGATCCTTACGAGTGCACATATGGAGCCATAAAAACGTCCTTTTTGACTTCACATATTCTCTGTTGGAGGTACGCGGCCCTTAACTCTGGAGTATTACCTTTCTCTGTCATGTGATGAGGGCAAAGGAATCCAAACTTATCACCTTTGCCCGATGTAATGCACAAATGATGAAGATACCTACAACAATGCAATTATATTAGTTTACTAAACTTGATGATTAAGTTTACTTACAACAATGCAATTATATTAAAGAAAAATATACTTACATCATAAATAGTTCAATGTGTGGTGTGGTAAGCTGATTATTCGACAGAAGTCGAACCAAATCTTCCCGTTCAATTGTCACTATCATGTCTTTCTTGCCCACAACCTCCGGATCCATTTCTAAACTCTTGAATTCGAATGATAAATCATACGCCATTAAGATCATTCGCTGATGCGGAGTCAACGAGGGTTGTGGAAGCTTTGGGAGATTCGGCGAGGAAAGCTTCTACATAATAAAAAGACAAGAAATAGTTAATAAAAAACATATATTAGGAAGTTGCTACATAATAAAAATTCATGAAATTTCGTACCACAGCTTGAACTAGATTCACAAGTCTCTTGGGCCATAGGATAAAATTGCCAACAGCTTCAACCACAGTCTTCACCTCATCAGTAGGGAATGGAACCAAAGCATCTGGCACTTTTGGATCTGCAACCACCACTCTTACTTGATCATCTTGAATTTGCTTGTGGTGGATGGTTGACCCCAAGCTATAGATGCTACCAAGAGCAACCAAGCGTTTATCAGGATCTTCTAGAAATATCTCACATGGTTCACCAATGTTGTCACCAGAAGGACCCTCTGACACACGCTCAAGAATATTACTCCCTTTTGTACTATGAAATGCAGGAGACGTATGAACTGGTTCAGCAGTTGTCTCCTGTCGTGAGCTCATCATGCTCATCATCTCCTCCTTCATTTGCTCTTTCATTTGTAGAAGCCGAGCTACAAATGAAGCTTCAAACTCATCCTTAGTCTGCTGCCTCACAGTGGATATCAATGTATCAAGCTCTTCTCTAGTCACTACACCTCCTGAATTGGGACGTGCAGGTGCTCCAAAGTAGTCCTTAATGCCCACACCATATCCAACGCCCCTCACACGACCCGGATGCTCTGGCTTGCCTGTAGCAACTGTTAAGATATCATTTTTGCCCTCTGGAATGAAGCTTCCTTGGGCTTGTTGCTCCTTAAGAGTATCCTATAATATAAAAATAACAATATTAATTAATAATATATACAATTGTATAGAAATTTAAAGGGACAAGGAATAATAATTTTACTTACAATCCTCTCGGCAATCTCCCGTGCTGTCTCACTTGTATAGCCTCCTTTCTTGTACTGATGTCCATATCTCCATTTCTCCTCTCGAGAGACAGGTGATGGTGGAGAAAGGAGTATGGAAGGATCAGACTTGGCTTCTTCTTCTCTCTTCTTCTGTTTCTCTGCCATCAGTATATCATCAGCTCTAGCATAACCTCCACGAGACAGGGTGTGGGGGCATTGATTCTGCCGAGCAATTTCTCGCCCTTTAGCTCGTTTTTCCTGTTAATAAATTGAATTTTAGATTTATAATTGAAGTAAATCTAAATAAAACTTAAATAAATTAAAAGTTAACAAACCATAGCCTTTTCAGAAGTCGAATCCTGACAAATTCTTCCCAAGTATCTTCATCAAGGAACTGGTATGTATCAAGAGGATTGGGACGAGCCTGACCCTCTGGCACCTCGATAAAGATATATCTTCTAGCAAGATCAGTCTTAAAATTTCTCCAACGTGTTCCACAGTAAGAAATCAACTTGTGTCGACAATCTTGATTAGATGGAACATCGTATGTGAGCTACAATGAAGACATAAGATAATAATCAATAATTGCCCAATAATATATAACTATAAAAAAATTTTAATTTTTAATTATTTACCTGAATACTTTCCCAAATCTGTTCCTTCACACGTTCTGGCACATCAGGCCAGTCCTCAAACACAATAGGAGGCTTGGTACGCGATAGGAGGCCAAGAAAACTAACAAACTTGGCTTTATGTGGCCCTATCGGATTCCATCTCCGGTCAAATTGAATTGGTAACCTACGCCCAGCACTCCTACTTAATGTCAGATCTCTTAATCGTGTGCCACGTCCCCCCTCCTCACAGACTGGCTCTGACTCGGCTCCTCACTAGGGGTGCCCTGACTCAGCTCCCCACTAGGAGCAACATCACCAATTGATTGGCTCTGAGTGTCATCACCTTGATTCTCCATATTCCTATTAATTCAAATAAATGAAATTAATTAAAAAAAATCAAAGATAAGATAATTAAGAAAAACAATCCCACAACATAAATTTAATTGAACTAAATTAACATACTTTAATTTCAAAACTAAACTCATATAGGGATATTCTCCCATATCCCTTCATGGTGATCACTTCTTATGGCATGTTCATCATCTACTTCATCTACCACATCCAAAATTGGTAGCCCACTTGAGAAGTTAGGAGTTTCAGAAATATCAAAATTTGATTCATGATCGTCATTACTATCAATCATCCTTTTTCCTTTAAGTGCTATTGACCAATTTTTATTTGCTGGATCCGTGACATAGAAAACTTGTTTAGCTTGGTCTGCCATAATAAATGGCTCATCTCCAAAAGTTAGTTTTTTAAGATCAACCATTGTAAATCCAAACTTATCATCACGAATACTATTGACGTCAACCCACTTGCATTTGAAAACAGGAACTCTAAATTTTGTATAATCAACCTCCCAAATCTCTTCAATAACCCCAAAGTAAGTCCTGGATGCTAGTTTAGGTTTCATATCTTTTGAACTAGAAAAGTGTACGGCTTCAGCCATTATCATAACTCCACTATTTTGCACCGTACTCTTCTCATCCAAGGACTTTGTATAAAAGGAATACCCATTAATATCATAGGCACTCCAACATATAACATCAAAGTTAGGACCTCCAGCCAACCATTTAACTGTTTCAGAAACACCACTTTCATTCAAAATTTTCTGCTTGAACCAATTCACAAAAGTCCTATTATGCTCTTTCAACAACTTTTGTTCTGTCATTCTCATTCGATAATTTTTTGCCTTTAAAAGTTCTTTATGAGAAGATATGTAATCTTTAACTTCATCAATATTATTCAAGATATATAAATGTGCTTCTTGTAATTCATCATGATTCATGCTCTTCACTGATACTCCACGTGTGCCTTGACCATATTGCCTTTTCTCATGACGAGATTTAGGAAGTCCAATTGATTCTGTACTTGACAAGTAATCAGAACAAAACTCCATAGCTTCTTCAGCAACATATTTCTCAACTATTGATGCTTCGGGTCGAAATGGATTTCTGACATACCCTTTCAGTATTTTCATGTATCTCTCAACTGGGTACATCCATCGCAAATAAACAGGGCCACACAATTTTACCTCCCTTACTAGATGCACTATTAAGTGAACCATAATGTCAAAAAATGTAGGAAGAAAGTGCATCTCAAGTTGGCACAAGATAGTACAAGCTTCTTGTTCTAACTCTTCCAGTTTACGGGGATCAATAACTTTACTGCATATAGCATTGAAAAAGAAACAAAGTCTAGTTATTGTAAGTCTTAAATCTTCTTTCAATATGCCTCGAATAGCCAAAGGTAATAGCTGTTGCATCAAGACATGGCAATCATGAGATTTTAAGCCTACCAGTTTCAACTCTTTCACAGATACAAGCTTCATAATATTTGAAGAATACCCGAAGGAACTTTGATTCCATGTAAACACTCACAAAAACTTGTTTTCTCAGATTTGCACAATGTATGAGAGGCTGGGGGACAATAAGTTCGTTTACCTTCTGGTCTTGGGTGTAAGTCTTCCCGTATTCCCATTTCTTTCAAATCCAATCTTGCATTCACACCATCCTTAGTCTTACCTGGTATGTTCAGAAGCGTTCCAATAATACTATCACACACGTTTTTCTCCACATGCATAACATCAATACAATGCCTTACTTCAAGATTGCGCCAATATGGGAGGTCAAAAAAGATAGACCTTTTTTTCCATATGCTTTTTGCACCAGTATTCTTTTTAGTCTTACCGAAGACAATATTAATGTTTTTCACACGTTCATATACTTGATCCCCAGTCAAAGCATCCGGAGCATCATTGTGTTCTTGGTGACCATGAAAAGCTTTCTTCAATCTACGATATGGGTGATCTCGTCTAAGAAACCTCCGATGGCCAAGGTAGACTGTCTTCCTTCCATGTTGAAGTTGATGGTAGTTTGTGCTTTCTTCACAAATTGGACAAGCTTTATGACCTTTCACGCTATAACCAGACAAATTTTCATATGCAGGAAAATCATTTATAGTACAAAAGATCATAGCACGTAACTTAAAATTCTCCTTCTGATTTGCATCAAACACTTCCACACCTACCTCCCACAACACTTTCAAATCTTCAATCAGAGGTCTTAGGTAAATATCAATATATTTCCCAGTTGTTTTGGTCTCGAAATCAACATGGATAGCATCATGTACTTCCGTTTCATGCACAACCTAGGTGATAGATTGTAAATCACCAAAAGAACAGGCCATGAACTATGTATACTACTAAGACTACCATAAGGATTCATTCCATCGGTAGAAAGTCCAAGCCTCAAGTTCCTTGGCTCATTGCCAAATTCAGGAAACAATTGATCAATTTTCTTCCATTGAGGAGAATCGGCTGGATGTCGAAGTTTTCCATCAGATATCCTCTCATTTGCATGCCACATCAAGTTCTTTGCATCATTAGTATTTGCAAACAAACGCTTGAACCTTGGTATAATTGGAAGATACCATAAGACTTTTGTAGGAGCCCCTTCTCTTTGTACCATGGTGCCTCACATTTCGGACACTTCTCCTCCCCTTCAAGCTCTTTTCTGTACAACACACAATCATTAGGACATGCGTGTATTTTTTTATACTTCATACCCATTGGACATAAGATCTTCTTGGCATCATAATAATGATTTGGTAGTACATTGCCCTTCAGAAACATTATTTGAAGTAACTCTAACAACCATGTGAAACTTTGGTCACTCCACCCAGCTCTTGCCTTTAAGGTAACTAGTTTTAACACCCCAGATAACAAACTAAAATCAGTGCACCCGGGTATAGAGGCTTCTCTGCGTCAGTGCACAAGTTATCATACACATGTGCTCGTTCAAAAGCCTCTTCCCCAACATCACGGATCATGTCCTCTAATCGATCTTCATTCATTTCTACTTCATCATCAAGATTATCAACTCCCACACATTGAGATGTGTTACTATAATTTTCCAATCGTTCACCATGCCAAATCCATATTGTATAATTTTTGCAAATCCCATCACAAACTAAGTGCTCTCTTATTTCAAAAACACCTAGTCTCCTCTCATTCAAACAATTAACACAAGGACAATAGAA